GGGGGGAAGGGAGGGAAATGCACGGGACTATGGTGGTGGCACAGGGGTGATTTGGTGATGGGAAACCCGTGGGGATTACAAGTGAGATGAAAAAAAATGTGCAAAATGATGTAAAAATAAACTTTTTAATAAAAAAAAAAGGTGCTCAATGGCCAAGATAGGTAAAATGTCATGAGCTACAGTGACTTTCTAAGCTTATTATCAATACTTAAATCCAAGTTTTAATGACTTTTCATCTACCTTGAAGACAATTTTACCATTTTTGTAAATTTTAGACTTGAGGACTTGCTCATAATTTGGTGTCCTCTATAATAGTTAAGGCAATAGTACTTAATTCATTTCAAAGCCCCGCCAAGACTTTGCCAAATATGTGGGGTGTCTGCCACTTTCTTTACTCAGCCCCAAATCTGGCGTTTCTGCATCTTGCTTTTTTTAGCCACCTAATCCGGGGTGCCTGCCCCTTGCTTTTCTCAGCCACTTTATCTGGGGTGCCTGCATCTTTCTTCTCAGCAACCTATTCCTGGGAGACTGAATCTTGCTTTTGTCTGCCACCAAATCTGGGGAGTCTGCCTCTTGCTATTTTCAACGACCTAATCTGAGGTTCTGCCTCTTTCTATTGTCAGACAATAATCAGAGTGTCTACGTCGGCCACCTAATCTGTGGTACCTGCCTCTTTCTTTTCTCGGCCACCTAATCTGTGGTACCTGCCTCTTTCTTTTGTCAGACACCTAATCTGACATGTCTGCCTCTGGCTATCCCCTCCACCTTACCTGTGGTGTCTGCCACTTGCTTTTCTCAACCATATAATTTTAGTTTCTGCCATTTTCTTTTGCCAGCTACCTAATCCGGCGTGTCTGCCTCTTGCATTTCTCTGCCACCTAATCTGGGTGTCTCCCCCTTTATTTTGTCAGCCACCTAATATGGAATGTCAACCTCATGGTTTTCTTTGCCACCTAATCTGGCATGTCTGCCCCTTGCATTTCTCCGCCAGCTAATCTGGGGTAACTGCCTCTTTTCTCTGCCTTTTATTCTGGGGTGCATTCCTTGCTTTTCTCTGCCACCTAATATGAGGTGCCTGCTACTTTCATTTATCTGCCACATAATATGACATGTCTTGTTGCTTTTCTCTGCCATCTAATTTTGGGTTCTGCCCCTAGCTTTTCTCATCCAATGAATATGGGTGCCTGCCTCTTTCTTTTGGAGCCACCTAATCTGGAAAATGTCCTTTTTCTCTGCCTTGTAATCTGGGGTGACTGTTGTTTTGTCCCAATTTCTGTGACCGGCCTCAAGAAAGGGAGGCAAAAGGCAAAAATGCTGAGCAAGCAGACTTTATTGCTCCTGGACAGCAGTTGAGACAGAGCCCCTAGGGTGGGGTCCGCAGCTACTGCGAAAAAAATAAGGGGGAATGGTCTCTTACATAGATTCTAAACTCAGATTCCCAAGGGGTGACTCATCGTTGTGTCCTTGATGTGAGGCCCAGTTCACTGTCCCCTTCAGCTAGTCCCATCCAGCATCTCAAGGTCAGTTTTATTACCACTTTATCAAGCTTGGATGCAAGGCAAAATTCTTTACCGCCCTAATTAAGTCCTTGTCAGTAAATCTTTGATCACTCCCAACATTCCCCAATTTTTCTTTAGTCACTAGGAAAAGGGAAGTGGTTTCTCCATGGCTGCTTCCTGCGTGACTTAAGGACAGTTGTGGACTTCCTGCAAAAGAATATAGGGGGCTGTGGGGTGTAACAGGAGCTGATTTACTGCAACCTTGGTTAGAGTTTGCACCCATGCCATTACAAATTGGACCATGCATGGGGCTATAGTAAAGAAAACTATGACTGATATCAAGGGGCCTAGTAAAGGGACTAGCCATGGTGGGAAAGATTGTTTTAGCCAATGCTAGAAGGTGTCTCTTCCAGCACTGGATTTTTTTAATGTTCTTGGCCAACACATAGATTTGCCACATTTTGTTCCACCTGTCCTGAGCTAACTTTGCAGGATGGGTCTGTTTTTTCTATAGGGGAGCAAAGATAGGCCAATGTAGTCCAGCCTGCTGGGAGGTTTTGGGTACCAGCCTAGTTAATCAGGGGAGCAGCATCCATAGATGAAACGTGGCTGGAAAAACAAAGCGTTGCCGTTCCGGTGGACATGACTGACCATACATGAGGCAGTTTTTACAGGGATGCAGAGTTAATAGGCTGAGATGTGACCATTTCAGCGTGAGTGGTCCCTTCAGATAGACTGCTGTGTGCTCTGCGTTACCACCTGCCTCCTCCATAGAGTAAATGAAACTACACAGTGACAAAGTGAACCTGCAGAATTAATGCAATGACATGATGTATTCTAAAGTGGAGGAGCAGTGGGAGCATTTCTCCTTACTCTTGGTAGGGTGATGACATATATATTTTTTAACTTAGATGTGACAGCCTGTGAGAGAGGGGGTCTCCATATCCTCAGTTTGGTTGTGAATGGCTGGTGCCCAGTGCTGCCTGCTGAGGTGACAGAGGCCTCACAACCCATGATGGGCAGGCTGGAACAGGCAAGGTCAGAGGAAGAAGCGGCTGTCTGATGCTTCTTACCAGATTTCAGAGGGGATGTATGGGGGCTAACGGGACCATCAAAGTTTATGGGGGCCCTCTCGGGGCATTCTGTGTGGGTGGGATGGCCTTCAGTGGAGGAATGACCTTTTGGCAGCACACCTGTGCTGTGTGCTGGTAACTTGTGCTGATGACTGAGATCCCTGAGTGGGCTGGGCAGCCTGTCTGAAAATGACAGCCAGGGAGAGCGGCGTAGTGTCCATATAGATTATATCATCAAGGCCCTTGGCTGTGGTGGTCGCGGGGCCAGCCATGGGACTGGTGGGCAGGACAGGAGGCAAAAGGGTCTTGGTAGAAGGACCAGGGGAAGTGGAAGGTAGGACAACGGGAGGGGGAGAATCCACACACATGGGTACTGGGGAGTCATTTTCACAGGGACGGGGCTGGAGAAGGGTTGAGGGGACCTGCGGTATGGGAGTTATCGACATCGCTGATGTTGTCACGATGAACGTAATGGTTGTGTTACTCGGTGTCACCTTCCATATGGGATTGCAGCTGCCTGGTATTAAGAAATCAGCAGCAACAGGTGGTGGACTGATGACAGTTTGAGGTGGAAGAATAGATACAACTGGCCTGACTGATATGTCAGCCAGCATGGGGATAGTGGCAGTGAGCTGTGGAGTGGCCAGGTGTAGTGAGAAGGGAAAGGGAGGCTGAGTGGCACTAGTGTCTGCAGTGGCCACGGCAGACTCTGAGTTCTTGACCTGCTGCCCCTCAGGGTCCTTCCAGGTGCCTATGTTACTGGGCAGAGCTAGACGGAGCAGCTTAGGTGGTGGGGGCACCTCATCTCTCTCACACAGCAGTGACAGTGGCCCGGGCAGTGGTAGTTTTAAGACTAAAGATATTTTACGCTTAGTGGCCCTTTTGCCTACAGATTAAGTTGAAGTGGGGGCTATAGCTTTCCTACCTAAAATATCCGTCCCCGGTACCACCTTCTGGGACACCGAGTCTTTTGCAGACCCTACGCTTTCTGTTGTGGACCAGTGAGATGAGGAGAAGTGGCTGTGGTCTAGAGTGGAGAGAATCATGTCCTCCACAACGGGCCCCGTGGTAGGCTGCTCCTCCCCAACAGGGTCTTCCCTGGAGCTTGTAGGAGGCACATGGGGCTCCTCAACCACACTATCTTGTCTGGGTGTGGGATAGAGATCCTGAGGCCCTGGAGAAGGTCTAGTGGCAGAGAGAACCCCGTTGTCCTCACGTGGAGATGGCAAAATCTGGCGTTCACTTTCTACAATGTTCCCTCTAGCCACGGCTTCCACCTTTGCCATGGTGGTAGTTTTTCGGAACTTCACCTCTGGCCAACGTCTTGGGGAGATGCCACTGGAGCTTTGTTGTTTGTGGGTCCCAAATCCTTGCTGAGGTGTTGCTGTCAAGAGAGCTAGTTGACGTCGCAGTGGTGGTAATGGTCTTGCTCTCAAGTGCCCAAACATCATAGAATTATGTGCAGACATGACAGGTTTTTTGGGGGGATCCCCCAGATACACCGTTGGGAGAATCCCCACATGGCTCCACTGGCTGGATATTATAGGATAATCCCTCTGTGGGCTATTTGAAATCCAGGCAATCGTTGTTTCAAGTGCCTGGGAGCAGGCCGGGGTGCGGGTACAGGAGCAGGAGCTGGAGCTGGGGCTGGAGCAGGAGCCGGTAGGTGGGGCAGCACAGGCGGAATAGGATGGCGGTTGGGTAGTCCAGGTGGGCGCTGACAGGGCAGGGGCTGGCGGCGGGACACAGGAAAGACTTTGCTTAGGAAATTGCCCATTTAGAGCTGTCTGTGCGCCTAACGCTCAGAGTGTCCAGTAAGAAGCTTGGAGAGCCTCTCCTCTGCTTCTCTCCACTCGGAAGATGCAGCACAAACTGGTTACCTGGGGGATGGTGA